TCTTGAGGCCTGCCACCGGACCGGGGCACTTGGCAAACCGTTGGGGCGTGAGTGGGCGAAGAACGCGATCAGGACAGGAAGAAGGAGAGCAGGACGGGAAAGAACGGGACATGGGCCGCGTAACGCAGTGAAGTAGGATGGCGTAAGTCAATTTAACGAGTAGAAGGTCATTTGTTAAGATACACTCAGACAGAGCGACTAATCTCATGCCGCTGCGGGGCGCTCCGGGTTGGGTTCCAATCATATTAGATAGACCCGGCGCGTTCCGTGGGTGTCAGTGCCATCCAGACCAGCAGCGTGTCGCTTCGGACGCCACCAGCCTCGGGCCGCAGCATTCGTCAGCCCGTCAGCCCGACACCACATTCCACGTCCTCGCCCACATCCTTCGCATCGGCAAAGACATGGCCAAGGAGCGAGGGCCACTTGTCGGAAGGTTCCGCGGCAGGCATTACTAAAAGGTGGCTGCGCCCTGGGCCTGCCCATTCCTCGACCTCGGGGCCGCCGCCGGCGACTGGTGGCCCATCGCGGCGCCTTCTGCGGCGGCGCCCTCGCAATGGAGAGCGAGGTGAGTGGAGAAAAGGCGCCCCTAAGCCCGTGGCCGCCCAAAATGAACCGACGCTCGCGCCCCACAGGAGTCCGGGGTCAACTGTGCACACGTGGCATTTTTGGCGGCTGCCTCCCAGTGTGTCGCCACCACCGAAAGAACTATTCGTGGCCGTTTACCGATGGATGAGTCGGCGGCGATGGCGTCGAGCACCGATCCTGGCCGGGGTTGGGGGGCTGCGGCGCGGGGTGCCTCTTGTTGCATTTGCGTGGATGACCTGGACCGAAAAGATGCGACCCGGTACGAGGCTCACCTCAGGCAGCGGGCTGTTACAGCCGGGTGAAGTAGTGGGGCGCGCAGTGTTCGTATCGCGCAAGGATGTTGCTGTGCATGGTCGAAAAGTGGTCGAAATTCTGTGTTTGGGGTGGTTGGCGCAAACCCCGCCATGGGGCGGTCTGGGTGCGACCCACGGGAGTGTCCTGGTCTCCAGATCGAATCGCAGGGCGCGTGTGGAGGCCCCTGTCCCGTCTCGCCCGAAGGGCCAGCCCCTAGGTGGTGCACTCACACTATGACTTTGACCTGGTCAAGCCTGACTGCCCTAGTGTTGGCTTGGCGTTGCCTGGAACGGCGTCTCTGGCGTTTTTGGCAGCTGGAATAGTACTTGGTCAACGCGTTACGGAAGCAGCATATTGCGCCGCTTTGTTTGCAGCAGTTGGATGTTGTTGGGATGACACCCATTGCTTGGGTGGGAATTGGGTGGTTCGCCCCAAAGCACAACATAGTACACGATGTCGCTGCGGCCCAAGTTTCAACAAAAGGTGACGTCGCAATACGATCGGTGATCCCGAACATGTTTCCACAACAAAGCGCAAAGGTTAGCCAGAAGTGGAACTGGAGGCGGAGAGGGGTGGTGGAGGGTGGGGACACATGTCAGCTTTGAGGATGAACACCTCAGGGGAGAACCTCATGTCAACTGCCTCCGGCATTGGCTCACAGAGTAAGGGAAACTTTTTTGCCTGCTTTGGCGAATGCGATCAAACTTGATGTGTGATCACAGCACGTCACAGGCAATAACAGCTCGGCATTGGTGAACAGGCGCTGCCGAGGGGCAAAGATGCAATGTACAACATGAAGATAATGTGCTTCTTGGATGCCCAGCTGGAGAAGCTGGACGGCTTAAAGGCACCTGCCTCACCAGAGCAGGCCAGTTTTGAGAGGGAGCTGGGAAGGGGCAGGCGCCTGTTGAGAAAGCATGCCCACCATTTTGACGTCAGGGACTTCTACAGGACCAGCGATGCACGCGATGCTGTGCAGAAGGTCTGTGGGTGCCTAAAGGACACGCTGCGGTTGTGGGGGTTGCAGACAAAGGCAGGCTTGGAAGATAGGATACCAATGGTGGACGTGGAAGAGGACCAGGAGCTCCTGCACAAGCTCCTCAACTTCGTGCTGAAGGACGTGCCATGCAGCATTGAACACAATTTGATGAAGCGCTGGGAGGAAATCAAGGCTCACCATGCAGAGAGCATGAATTGTGTGAAGGTGTGAAGTCCGTTTGATTTGCATTTTGCTGAACTGTCACACAGCAATTTACCGTGTGTTTCTGACTGAAGTACTGAACCACAGTTGAAGTTACCATGCAGTACTGGCAGATGAAATACTGAAGTGTTGGAGCACAAAAGAATACTGACAGGGCACTGAAGTGGCACTCTGAAACAATTGAAGTAGCAACTACAGGTACTGCCTTTGCACTGTCAACACGATGATGGTGGTACTGGTGAAGTTTCATTGGTTGCATGTCAGCCACAAAATGCTATGTCACCTTCCAAACACATGAGAACATCATGTCCACTGTTGGTATCCGCAACTGCCATCACTCACATGCGCACGTGTCCGCCCCCAGTTGAGGCCTACAATTAATCCTAGTCTTCACACTGATCGCCCTGGTTCCATGCATATTTTTTTTCTCCAGAGTGCTCGCTCAACCTCCCCTTGCCTTTCGCAGGTCATCGAAGAACGCGAGCTTCAAATGGGACAGCAGCTAGGTGAAGGTGGCCAGGGCGCAGTATGCGCAGCAGTGTGGGAGTCGAAAAATGTGGCCGTGAAGAAGCCAGTCTGGAGGGGCCCATCGGCAGGCCAGGGCGACCTGCCCATTGAGGACTTTGCAGAGTTTTCCAAGGAGATCGTCTTTCATGCCGGCATCAACGACCATCCGCAAATTGTCAAGCTCCTGGCTGTCACCTCCTCAGGGGGGATGGTGCTGGAAAAGGCGACCTGTGACCTGCGTACACTATGTTTTAACAACAAGGGTCTACCCTGGAGGTCCAAGGTCAGGCTCCTCCGCGAGGGGAGCACTGCCCTGGAGTACTTGCACTCCAAGGATCGGGTGCACCAGGATGTCAAACTGCAGAACTTCCTCCTGTTCGGCACTGACCCAGAAACTTGCCGTCTCAAGATCAGCGATTTCGGACTTGCAGTCATGGAGACAGCGTCCAGGAGCAAGACAGTGAGGATCGGCGATGGCACGCTGCAGTACACGGCCCCTGAGTTCTACCACGGGAAGCCAACCACCTCCAAGTCGGATGTGTACAGCTTCGGGGTGCTGTGCTACGAGGTCATCAGCGGGCAGATGGCGTACGGTGGGGAGGGAGCCACCCAGTATGTGATCATGAAGAAGAAGCTGGATGGGGAGGCGCCGTGCCCAGTGCAGGACAGTGACTGTCCCCCAGCAGCACTGGAGCTCATCAGATGGTGCTGCGTTGCTGACCCAGAGGCCAGGCCAACAATGGAGCAGGTCAAGAACAGCCTGCTGCAGCTGCCTGATGATTGGGAGCCCGATGATTGGGATCCAAGGGACAGGGGGTTTGCAAAACTAACTGCCAGCAAGGTGAGAAATTTCCACAGCAGTGCTGTGCACACCAGCAAGGGTCAGGTCAATTTGTACATTTCAAAGTCTATAGTAGCACAGTTCCATGTTTGAATCACAGGGGAGTGCTGGAAATTGTGAGTTTGCAGTGTAACCCCTGTTGAAACTTGACCAGACTGATAGGACCAAAAACCTAAACTGTATTATAACTGTATTTAATGGAATGCAATAGATCATTACAACGTTAAAGGAACCTTTTTCGACATATTCAAATAGATGACTAACATTAGCAGTGCTGTTGGTGCCATTCCGGCCGGGAATGGCTTAGCAACCTGCATTGGTGCCATTTCAGCTTGGCTGCCTATTTCTTCCACCAGTTTACTCCAAATTTATGTAAATGCTGTTGTATTGGACGTTTTGGTGGTGATCGCTAAATTGGTGGCGTTGCTGTCCTGTTCCGATAATGGCCAAGGCTGGGGGGTGCAGTGCTGGCCCCTCCCATCGTGCACGGCCGAAATGCCTGAGCAAAAGGATCCAACCTGCCATGATGCTTGCCTCACCTAACGCGTTGTCACAACCGGGTAAGGTTGTGTGTTGCATAGCATGTCTTTGCATGACTGGCGATCATTATCATGGGGTAATGGGGCGACACCTGCTGTGATTGTGAACTGCACCCAACAGGGTCTCACAGACGAGGGGGCAGTGTTCATTGCATTGGGACATGATGTGTGATAGCAGCACCTCACAGGCAATGACGGCATGGCATTGGTGAACAGGAACAATCAAGGGGCCAAGATGCATTGTACAATGTGAAGATCATGTGCTTCTTGGATGCTCAGCTGGAGAAGCTGGAGGGCCTCGAGGTGCCCGCCACCCCGCAGCAGGCTGGCTTTGAGGAGGAGCTGGGGAAGGGGAAGCACCTGTTGAAAAAGCATGCTGACCATTTTGACATCAGGGACTTCTACAGGACCAGCGATGCCTGCCATGCTGTGCAGGAGATCTGCGGGCACCTGAAGGACGCATTGCAGTTGTGGGATTTGCAGGAGGAGGTGAGCTTGCAAGATCAGATACCGATGGAGGATGTGGAAGAGGACCAGGAGCTCCTTCACAAGCTTCTGAATTTTGTGCTAAGGAATGTGCCTTGCCGCATTGAGGAGACGTTGATGAAGCGCTGGAAGGAAATCAAGGCTCGTCATGTGGAGAACATGGAGTTGGTGGAGGTGTGCAGTTCATTAGATTGCATTGGCTGACTTGTGACAAATCAGTGACTGAAGTACAGTTTCATCATATGCTGATGAAGCTCAAGTGCTGACTGAAGTACCATCAAACAGTGATGATGTAGCCAGTACTGCTCTTGCACCTTCAAGGTGATGTGGCATAGCCACAATTCCAGCCACACTGTTGGTCCAATATTTTTGCACTGGACTCAACTTGCAGGTACAGTTCATAGACCAAGGCGAACTCCAGCTGAATGAAGAGCTTGGTGAGGGCAGCCAGGGCATGGTGTATGCAGCAACGTGGCGGATATGCGATGTGGCTGTGAAGAAACCCAACTGGAGGGGAGACACAGGCGAGGAAGGTGACCTGCCCATCATGGACTTCGCCTTGTATTTGAGGGAGATCCTTTTTCATGACAGCGTCAATGGCCACCCCCAAATCGTCAAGCTCCTGGCCGTCACCTTTTCAGGGTGGATTGTGATGGAAAAGGCGGACTGCAACCTGAGCACACTATGCTTTGCTGGTGAGGGGCTTTCCTGGAGGTCCAAGGCCAGGCTGCTCTGCCAGGCGAGCACGGCCCTGGCATACTTGCACTCAAAGTCTCGGGTGCATAAGAACGTCAAGCTGCAGAACTTTCTTGTGTCAGGCACTGACCCAGAAACCTGCCAATTAAAGATCAGTGATTTTCTGCTCACAGTTGAGCAGACAGCATCCAGGAGCGAGAGGGTGAGGATCGGTGACAGTGGGCTGTCCTACACCGCCCCCGAGTTCTACGACGGGAACAGCACTAGCTTCATGTCAGATGTGTACGGATTTGGAGTGCTGTGCCATGAGGTTATCAGTGGGCAGAAGTCTTATGATGGGGAGGGAGCCGACCATTTTGCAATCATGACAAAGAAGCTCGATGGGGAGCCACCGTGCCAGGTGAAGGGCAGGGATTGTCCCTCAGCAGCTATGGAGCTCATGAGGAGGTGTTGCACTTCTGAACCAGAGATCAGGCCAACGATGGAGCAAGTCAAGAACGCACTGATGCAGCTGCCTGAACAATGGGTATTTGGTGAGCAGGTGAGAAATGTTCACAGCAGTGCTATGCACACCAGTAAGGGTCTGGTCAATTTGTACAATTCAAGGTTCATTTAGTAGCAAATTTCCATGTTTGAATCACATTGAAGTGCTGCAAATTGCGAGTTACTTGCAGTGTAACCCCTGTTGAAACTAGACAGGACTGATGGGATTAGAAAACCTAAACTGCATCTGTAATATAATACACTGGTACAATGTTATTTGAGCACTTTCAATATACTCAAATAGATGGCTTACATGAGCAGTGCTGTTGGTGCCATTCTGGCCAGCACTGGCTTAGCAACCTACATTGGTGCCATTTCAGCTTGACTGCCTGTTTCTTCCACCAGTTTGCTCCAAATTTATGTAAATGCTGTTGTATTGGACGTCTTGATGGTGATCGATATGTTCGTGGCGTTGCTGTCCTGTTCCGATACTGGCCAAGGCTGGGGGGTGCAGCGCTGGCCCCTTCCGTCGTGCGTAGCCGAAGTGCCTGAGCAAAACGATCCAACCTGGCACGACGCTTGCCTCACCTAATGCGTTGTCACAACTGGGTAAGGTTGTGTGTCGCATAGCATCCATGTCCCACAAGGATATGGCTGGGCATCCTGGTGGTCAGGGTTCTATGAGTTTGGGTGGCTGGGATGAGCCTCCGTCTGGGGCATCAACACACAACCCACAGGAGTCTCATGCTCTGTACAGATAGGCTTTGAATCGCACGGGGCTTGTAGGCCCACTGGCCTTGGTCCCCCCCCCCCCCCAAGTGGGCAGCCCCTTGGTGGTGGACTTTGACCAATACCTTTGTCAACCTAGACTTTGACCTTTGGTCAACCTTGACTGCCCCTGATCTTGACCTGAAGTTGCCAGGACGGTGCTTTGGGTGCTGGCACGGAGCTTGGCCAATGCATACAGAAGCAACGTGTGGCAGCACACTGTTGGCAGTAACCAGATGGTAGTGGAGGACAGCCAACATAGCTGTGGCATGGGTATCACCATGATTTGGCACTTGGCGTCAACACTCATTATTGCCCACATCCCCAACTTCGGAATGGAAGGCGATGTCTCTGCGCGACTGGTGATCATGATCATCCATCTTGAGCTGATGGCAAAGTGTCAACCAAAGGTAGATTGGAATGGGCAAGATGGCACGTCACAGCATTGGGAAAGAAAATAGTTCAAGGGGTAACACCTGCTGTGATTGTGAACTGCACCCAACAGCATCTCACAGACAAAGGGGAAGTGTTTGCGCTGCACTGGAACAGGGTGTGTGATCGCAGCACCTCACAGGGCAATGACAGCATGGCATTGGCGAACAGGAACAATCAAGGGGCCAAGATGCATTGTACAACGTGAAGATCATGTGCTTCTTGGATGCGCAGCTGGAGAAGCTGAAGGGCTTCGAGGCGCCTGCCACCCCGCAGCAGGCTGACTTTGAGGAGGAGCTGGGGAAGGGCAAGCACCTGTTGGAAAAGCATGCTAACCATTTTGACATCGGCGACTTCTGCAGGACCCGCGACGCCTGCCATGCTGTGCAGGAGATCTGCGGGCACCTGAAGGACACATTGCAGTTGTGGGATTTGCAGGAAGAGGTCAACTTGCAAGATCAGATACCGACGGAAGATGTGGAAGAGGACCAGGAACTCCTGCACAAGCTTCTGAACTTTGTGCTAAAGGATGTGCCTTGCAGCATTGAGGAGACATTGATGAAGCACTGGAAGGAAATCAAGGCTCGCCATGTGGAGAGCATGAAGCACGTCAAGGTGTGAAATCTGATTTGCATTTTGCTGAATTGACAAAACTAGCCCAACCTGCAGTTCTGACCAAAGTACTGAACCGCAGTTTGAAGTTACCATGCAGCACTGACAGATGAATACTGAAGTGGTGATTCAAGTGCGAAAGCACAGAAGGATACTGGCAAGGTACTGAAGCACTGACTGAAGTAACATGAAGTAACAACTGAAGGTGCTGCTGTTGCACCTTCAACATGATGATGGTGGGGTGAAGCTTCATTAATTGCATGTCTGCCACTGAGTGCTATGCCGCCTCCCATCTGCACAAGAATATCATGAACGCTGTTTGTGTTGGTAATCACCATCACACACATGCACAGCTGTCCACCTCATTTTGTCGAGGCCTACAATTAGTCCAAGTCTTCAAGGTGGTGGCCATTGTTCCATCCACACTTTTTCTCTACAATGTCCACTCAACCTCCCCTTGCTTGGCGCACAGGTCATCGGTGAAGGTGAGCTCCAGATGGGACAGCTGCTAGGTGAAGGCAGCCGGGGCACAGTATATTCAGCGGTGTGGCGGTCGATCGATGTCGTAGTGAAGAAGCCAGTCTGGAGGGGCTCAATGGTGGGGCAGGGTGAACTTCCCATAGAAGACTTCGCTGAGTTTTCCAAGGAGGTCATCTCTCATGCCAGCATGAATGACCATCCACAAATTGTCAAGCTCCTAGCCGCCACCACCTCTGGGAGAATGGTGCTGGAAAAGGCGAAGTGTGACCTGCACATGCTGTGCTTTGCTGACGAGGGGCTACCCTGGAGGTCCAAGGTCAGGCTGCTCCGCCAGGGGAGCACGGCCCTGGCGTACTTGCACTCCAAGGGTCAGGTGCACCGGGACATAAAGCTGCAGAACTTCCTCATGTTCGACACTGACCCCGGGACTTGCCTTCTCAAGATCAGCGACTTTGGACAGGACATTATGGAGATAGTATCCACGGTCACCAAGACAGTGAGGATCAGTGATGGCACACTGCAGTACGCTGCCCCCGAGGTCTACAAAGGCAAACCCACCAGTGCAAAGTCAGACGTGTACGGATTTGGAGTGCTGTGCTATGAGATGGTCAGCGGGCAGAAGTCCTACGGTGGGGAGCGAGCCAACCGGTATGTGATCATGAAGAGCAAGTTGAATGGAAAGCCACCATGCCAGGTGCAGGACAGGGACTGTCCCCCGGCAGTGCTGGAGCTCATGAGGTTGTGCTGCGCCATTGACCCAGCGGACAGACCGACGATGGAGGAGGTCAAGAACAAACTGATGCATCTGCCTGGGGAGTGGGTGTTTGAGGAGCCCATTGCCAGCGAGGTGACAGTTTTTCATTGCAGTATTGTGCGCACTTGGGTGCAATAGATTCCTGCACTTGACTTGTGTTAAATCGCCAGAAAGCATGTGAAGCAGTAGCTCAAACCCATTGAAAATGGACAAACTATGAATCTGGACATGTTTTGAGGAAGTAGCAGCTTATTGCTACAATATTGTAGTAATTTAATGTGAGTTAAGTGCTTATTAAAAATACACAAACGGTATCTAACTCATCTAGCGCATGTTCCAGTCCCATTTTCCACCAGTGACAATTGAATTGCTCTCAACAGCATCAAGTCAATGGCCCATTTTTTCCATCCTTTGTGCCCGTTTTTGTTCTATTGCACCTACAACCCAGGGATTGTGCTGGCAGAGGTAGTTAAGTGCATTGTACTTGGCAACTCCAGTTGTTGCTGCATAAAGTACACTTGATTAAGTTGCAACTTGTGCAAAATGCATCACATATTGGTCTTGCCGAGTGGCAGGTGGGCCATGTAGCCTTTTCCTGCTTGTACCCCTTGTCTTGGTGCTTGTTGTAAACGAGGTAACAGTTTGTTTAGCAAACAAAGTCAATACATTGCTCGACACTGCTGTGTGTGTGCTGCCGTGCAGCTGATATTTGATAGCTGGAAAAGTTGCCAAAGAGCATCATGGACTTGGCTGAAAAGCCACTTGATTGGCTACATCCATTTATTACTTGGATGTATTTTGCCAAGTGGCAAGTTGCGTGCTGTCAGACACACATTGCTTCCACCAGTGCGATGGCAGACATGTGCGTTCAGATATTCATGCGCATCCACCTGCGTGCAGACGCTTCTTGGACATCGGTTGATAGCGGCTGAGTTGTAGGATATCTCTTGATGGTGTCAATGTGGGGTGCGTAGTGATGCGGCTGTTGGAATTGAAACAGGCAGGGTGAAGCAAAGTCAGGGCAAGCAGAATTAAGTCAGCAATACTGTATAAGTAAGAAAGTTCTCGCGGGAAAAAAGTTCGCGCATTTCGCACTCGAGCAACTGCGCGAACTTTTTTCCGCGCGAACATTTTGCCACCGCGAACTTTTTTCGCCCGCGGATTTTTCGGCCTCCTCCCAAATGGGCCGGGCGCTTCCCGCGCTGTGGCCCGTTGGCCTTGCACAACGGCGACTGCCCCGTGCGGCGGTCTTTTGACGAGCAGCGACTGCCTCGAAGGAGTCCTGAGCTGGCCAACAGATCGCTCGCGCCGGTGGCCATCGGCCAGGCAAATCTTGGCAGCGAGGATGTGCCATCTCCCTGACCAGGCGGCTCTGTGCTCCTCCCAGTTTCTAGTCATGCAAAAGTCTAGCTCGAGCCCCGTCCAGCGACTGCCCCAAAGGAGCCCTGAGTTGGCCTGCGGATCGCTTGCGCCAGATCGATCGCTGGTGGGCATTGGCAAGCCGAATCTTGGCGGCGAGGAGGTGCCATCTCCCTGACCAAGCTGCTCGTGCTATTCGTCTGCGGCACCCGAAGGGTCAGGACGGCGGCCGGGGGGCGGCGCAGCACAATAAGAAACGGCGCCACCCCTGGCGAAGGTCAAGGGCGGCAGGAGCCCGATTCCGCAATGTTCGCGCGGCGAAATTTTTCGCGGGCGAAAAAAGCTTGCGGGGGAAAAAAGTTCGCGCACCGACGACTGCGCGAACTTTTTCCGCGCGAACTATTTTCCGCGCGAAACAGGCGAAATTTTTTGCACGCGAACTTTTTTACTTATACAGTAGGTCCCATTGACATGGTGGCCACACTCCTAGCCGGAGGCAACATTGAGGGCAATGAAGATGTATGGAGCATCCATATGGGCTATGAGATTTGTTGGTTGATTGGAGCCTCATAATTGCCACTTCCTCTGCCCCACATCAAATATCCCTTATCCTTAACTGCCATATCTTTACATAGATGAAAAAATACACATTGCACGTGCAACCATGCTCGCTTGAGTGGTGCATGTCCACACATCTTTGCTGCCATGTGTGCCAAATTGCAAGTTTTCTAGAGCCGTTGCTAATCGCAGGAATCACACTGAGCTTACTGAAAAAAGTGCCAGATCCCCAATTGTCGACCCGTCGATCCCTCAGGATCGCGCAGCAGCCCCGTTTAGGGTAGCATTCGTGTGTACTTTGGCACTCGCTTGGAAGAAAGTTGTGGTGGATGGGTCGGTGGGTGGGTGGTCATGGTGCTAGTGGGTGGCCATGGTGCCAGTTTTTTGCAGGTTACCAGCGATTAGCAATTTGGCCATCATAGTGCAAAGGCGCACACCCAAAGGATGCCTAAACACCTCGCTAAAGTGAAAGGTCGCGGCGATCGGGCCGTCGGGTCGATCGCCACAAATTTGACCTTACACTGCCCCTTTTCATCAAACCCCAACCCCACTCGGCTGCTTCCAATCAGCTGGCGAGGAGGCACTCCATAGTGCTGCAGTGAGGGCGCCAAGCATCTTGGAAGTGAGAGGTCACGGCGATCGGCCTGTTGGGCCAATCGCCGCTGACTCAATTTTTTTCAAATTTGCCCCCCCTTCCCGGCCTCCTCCCTTGTGCCCTAACGCCATTCTTTTCCAGTTCATGGCCAGGGAGACCCCATGAGGCGCTCCAAGGGGGCCGCCCAGCCTGCCTGAGTAGAAAGATTGCAGCGATCGACCGGTCGGGGTGATCGGCAGGAACAGAATTTTCAAGTATGAGCATGGCCCAAGCCCTTCCAACACGACTCAAACCAAGGTTGCAGGCGATGGCAATCGCCTCAGGTGGCCGCTCGCTGCAACGCAGCCAAGTTCATGCTGCCCACCGTCCCCCCCCCCCCTGCCAGTTTGCGGCTGGTCCAAAGGCGTACCGTCTGTCCGGCCCTGCCCTCCGGCATCTTGTCCTCGCGGCACGGCGGGTGCTTACCAGTACTGTAATTGCTAACTTTGCTGTGCCTGTGGCATGCGCCGACATTAAAATGCGCAACGCGGCGCTGCGCGACGCATGTGCGTCAGCAGAAGGTGTGCCGGGCCCCCCTTGCCCAGCGCCCATTAGTCATGCGTAATCCCAGGGTGACCACGCGCCCACGCCACCTGTCATTGAAAGAAGGCAGGGGAAGGGAGAGGGCAGGCGGCCACTGCCCGTGCCGGCGAAGGAAGCCCGGGGGAAGGGCGGTGTGTGCCTGGCCGGCGCCCGCGCGCCGCGCGATGCGCAAGGAAGTTGGGCAGGGGGTTGGGCGGCGAGTTGCCGGTCGGCGCCCATGCCATGCGCAACGTGTGCGCCGCGCGAGGCGTAAGGAAGCAAGGGGATGGGCGGCGAGTGGCTGGTCAGCGCCCATGCCACGCGCCGCGCCGCACGCGGACCGCACAGTGTGCGAGGAAGCCCGGGGAGGGGGCGGTGTATGGCCGGTTGGCGCCCATGTCACCTGCCGCGCAAGGCGCAAGGAAGCCCGGGGAGGGGCAGCGTGTGGCCGGTCGGCGCCCGTGCAGCGCCCGCCCGCCGCGTGACGCGCAAGGAAGCCCGGAAGGGTGCGGTGTGTGCGCGGCGGGGCGATTGGCGGTCGGCGGTCGGCGGCGGGCCAAAACCGCATTTTTGCTCTATAAAGCTCCGCTCGCTTCGCTCGCTCGCAACAACTGTTCAAAAAGACACTGATCAGGAAAGACCACGTGCCAAAGCCCCCAAGAGTTGCTCAAAACCCAATAGATTCTCTCCCTTGCTGCTTTTAAATCGGCCAAAAAGTGCATTGGTAAAAGAAACCAACGTTCGACGACGATCGCCGATCAAGCCTTCCGGAGCCCGTTTTGGTGACCCGTACCTCATTACGATAACTGGACCAACCTTTTGGGCTGTCATCTGCCAGATGTGTTTGCACCTGGATGTTCAAGAGATGAGCGCATTGAACTCGTGAGGAAGTGGTGGATATGTTGAATTGAGTTACAATTATGTACAGTCAATGCTCTTCCCTTGTTTCCATGGTGACAGGTTCAGCACGGGGAGCTGCCACAGGCCAGTGTACTGATGTACAACCAGGGCATGATGGGTTTTCTGGAGGAGCAGCTGATAAAGGCCAGGGCCATACAGAAGCCAGCTGACAAATCTGCAGTTCAATTGAACAAGTATGACCATGAGGTCAAGAAGGGTGAAAGGCTGTTGAAAAAGCACCAGCGCTTTGATATCAAGGGCTTCTACAGGTGAAATGAATCAGCTTTAATGCTGGCCAAGCTTTAGTGCTGGCGCAGTTTTCACCCTAATGTAGAGTGTTGAATTATTGAAAACCATTTATTGTGTGTTGGGTAATCTGTGTTGATAAAAACTGAGCCATGTAATACTAGCCATGCATTTTGTGCATTGTGCCATTTTTCACTGGGCCAGACCAGGCGTAGTGAATAGATAAGAAATAGGGGTGGCTTTCACCATTGATGTGCAAATGATTGTTATGCAGGACAAATACTCTGGATGGCATTGTATTCTTAATCGTCTCGCAGCTTTGGGGCCAGCGGTTCAACATGTCCTTTTCAGTGTGCGAAACATGTTGCAATTTCTGCAGGATCGATGATGCTCGGCGAGCTGTGGAAGCTATCTGCAGTGTGCTCCTGCTTTGCCTTGAAGAGTGGGGCATGCAAAGGTCTGGGACTGGCATGGATCTGAAGTCGCGAATACCTCAAGAGCTGGTCGATGGGGATAAGCAGCACATGTACATGCTCCTTGCCTATGTGCTCAAGGGTCAGACGCTGACCTCAGAGCTGAGGCAGGATTGGGAAGTGGTGAAGGCTGACCATGAGGAGGCGCTGAGGGGGCTGAAGGCAAGGCATCTAAATGGCGATGCTGTTTCTTTTGTTGAAAGCGTTGCAACTCGATAGCTGTTGGGGTGCCTTGAGCCCTGAAACGAAAACATTAAGTCGACAGAATTTTCAGCAATAAGGACGACGTCCTTAACACACTCTTGATATGTTTCTGTGTAATTATAATATTTCAGCAGTATTAGTGCATTCAATATACTAAATGCATGTTAAGTACTTGTTAAACAACGTTTCATATATGCATGTGCTGTTTTATACTTTACTTTTGCATTGCGCTGTTTTTGGTGCTGAGTATAGAGTACGACTTTCATGTATTGTCGCAGGTGATCAGCGACGAGGAACTCCAGATCGGGGAGAAGATCGGCGAGGGCGGCTATGGCAGTGTGTACAAGGCCGAGTGGAAGAGCAAGACAGTGGCTGTCAAGGACGTCGTGCCATTCCACCACTATCTCAGCCTCGAGGACTTTGCTGCCTTCTTCAAGGAGGCCTCCATCCAAGCATTGCTCACCTTCCACCACGTCACCCCGCTCTACGCCATCACCAAGTCCGGCAGGATGGTCATGGAGCTGGCCAGCTGCGACCTGGCCTCCTTGAGCCGGCGGGAGCAGCTTCCATGGCCCGCAAAGCGCCGCACCCTGCACCAGGCAGCCCTGGGTCTAAAGCACCTGCACTCGCGCTCCCCCCCGCTTATCCACCGAGACGTTAAAAGCTCAAATTTCCTGATTTTCGGGAACGATCCAGACACGTGGACTGTGAAGGTCTCGGACTTTGGCCTGACGGGGGAGTGCACCAAGAGTGTAAGCAAGACGGTGCGCGGCGGAGGGGGCACGCTGGAGTGGATGGCCCCTGAGGTGTTCCTCAGGAAGCCGCTGACGCTCGCATCGGATGTCTTCAGCATGGGGGTGATGATGTACGAGGTCGTCACTGGGCAGCACCCATATGGGGTGAAGAGCTTGGACGCCAAAGTGCGGGAGGCGGTGGTGACTCACGAGAAGTCGTCAGAAAATGAACCTGCGAAGGTGCAGCAAGGGCAGTGCCCACAGGAGATGCTGGACCTGATGCGGAGGTGCATCTCGTTTGATGCAAAAGCCAGGCCCACCATCGACGAGATATGCGAAGCACTGGCGACCATGGGCTGTTAGTCCACAAATTCGTCAATGGATTCAAATTGGACTCGGCTCAATTCAATGCGGTTGCGTTTCTTAAAGTGCACCAATGCACTGCCGTTACACCATTGATACGATGGCGGGTAACCATCACTGATGGGAGGAAGTCATGTCATATCACATGTCATGTCCTGAATTAGAGCGCTCTAGAAAACTTTGCGTTGTGCAGGATCTGATTGGTAAGTCTCTGGGTGCAATGCAGCGCCCCTGTTTGGTAACGGCACCAAACACTTTTTTCGGGTGAACTGGGAATCCAACAATGCAGTGCACATTTGGGGCCGAAGCAGGAATTGGGTTTGCGACTTTTGTGCAGCACTATCGCTTGGCAAGCTGCGAGCAAAGCTTGGCCTACTGCAAATTTCCCAGTCGATTGTCAGGCACCGCAGATCGTTCCCTGTCGAGAGTCTTGAGGCACCTCAAGCACAGGAGAGGCTGGATGGCCTAGCTTGGAATCCGACCGCGATGCTTAGGAGAACGAAATTGTGCAACGCTGATTGTGCACACAAGAAACTTGATACACGTTGCACCACTCGCAAGCCAGATCAAGCTCTCAATATACTGAGGGGTTACCAACATGTGGTGTGACAATGACTGTTCTTGCCTGCACCAATCAGATGCCGGGTTGACACAAAACGAGTGTTCTGCGAACAAGTTTATCATTTCCAAAACATGCATCGTGTTGTAAAGAGTACAACTACAACACCCAGGAACTTGCTGCTCCCGCTTGCCACTGACAAGCCGCAAATGCAGTCATCGTGCTCAGCACCTCAGACAAGCAATTTTTGCCTGGGAGAAATTCGCAAAGGGGACGCTCCTATGCTGTACATGCTTGGCACGATTTGCAGTTTATTCAGGACAAAGCTGCCATCCAAGCGCCATCCACTGATGCAAGCTGAAGTATGCCCCTCCATCTTAACCCTGAAACGAAAATGCTTCCAAACTGTGCTCTCAAGTCTGTTGCTGACCAGTTGCCCAGTCCACAGGCTGCTGCGACAAGCATTAGGCGATATCCGCCATGGTGGCACTGACCGTCCATGGCACAACACTTTCCCATCAGCTCACCCAGCTCCTCTGGGTGGTGGTGCACTTCAACGCGGCAGGACGGCTCTCCTCTCAATTTCATTCCCACCACCACATGCACCGTCATGCCCCATCATACAATGGCAACCTTCTCACGGATGCGTGCATGATGAGGCCGAAGCTGATGACCTCCATCCCGTGGGAGGGATGCTTGTCGTCTTACAGCTCCCAAGCCAGCCACAAGGAGGTGTGCTTGCCGCCCCTCGCGCTCTTCATATTCTACTCATACGCCTCCTTTTTGAGCCTGGACTGAGCGAGGTCGACGTCGTAGGTTTCACCACTTGTCTATATCTCTTGATTCACGCTGCCGTGATCAAATGAGGGGCTCCTGTTGTGCACATATTCGAACCAAGCAGCCGCTTGTCACGACAAGTCCAGCATCGTTGGCTTGGTGCTAAATTTGCCGTTAGTCATTGAGCCACGTAACCCAATTATTGGCTCATGGCCAACATGTGGCGACTAACTGGGTGCCACAACACCATAGACCAGTCAGAGATGACATGGACCACCACTAGGCTTTGCTAGAAAGCAACAAAAGGATGCCTATGAAATGGGCAGCTGGTGCTGCCCAGCCGTCCTCATGAAGCTCCAAAAAAATGGGTGCACAAAAGTGATATTTGACTGGAAAGAAATAGGCAGATAATGCACACAAACGCTGCCAAAATTCTGTGCAATTTAGTCATCGCGCTGGGAAAATACTGATGATAAGAGAATGAAAGCGTACACGCAGATTTGGAGCAACTACATTTGAAAAAGGTGAAATATAATGGAAACGCAGCTCAATTTTATCAGAGAATGCAGGAAGTATGGTGCAAGGCATTGTGGCAATTTTCTCATTGTGTGACATGAATACCAGTGTTTTCAAATGGAAACATCTGGCCAAATTTGGAGAAATTAGTCATTTCGTTAGATTGGGCAACTGGTTGGTGTGAAAGGTTGGGACATGAACGGAGCAGCCATGGCCATCGTGGCAGGCGTTGGGATGCTCTTCTTTTCTGTGTGGCGTTGATGTTGCCATTGGGCCATTGGGGTATTGGGCATTGGGGTATTGCCATTGGGGTATTGGGCCTATCATTGTGGCCATGATGTCTTGTCATTTGTATGGAACGTACGTTGCTCTCATAGCCATCGCATCGAATTTAGGCTAGCAGCTGGTAATTGGCTATTTGCCTCCAAGTGCCATCCAGGGAATGCTTAGCTACCGTGTGAGGGTCTTTAGGCGTCGCCACTCGCCCCTTGCCAGATCCGCAGCGCCAGCGCGCCCAATACCCCGGTTGTTGCGACGCGCAGGTCGCAGGTCGCAACCATTAGTTTGCCAGGTTACATGGCAATTAACGTGGCTTTTTCTTAAACCTTCACAAAATTACGCAGACTCAAAGCACTGACTTTAACGCGTGCACTATTTTGTGTTTACAACAGAAATATCCTTTTCCCAAACTTTTATGCTTCAGCGCTGCATCGAGGAACTGGATGTATATCTTACAACGCAACAGAATTAAGGGAAGTGACGACGCAGCTCGCCCTTGAGAAACACCTGTCATCCGCCCTAAAATTCAATGCATGAGACAAGGAGAGAAGATCTCGAGGGCTGAAGAAACCAAAGCCATCAGAAGACGATTCATCCTCGGAAAATCAATATACCGTGCCATCCAATAGCTTTGGGAAGCGAGGTGGAACTTCTACCGCTTACAAAGCTCTAGGCTGTAAATCACATCTGGCCGCTACTAATTTCATTTCCCTGACATGCTATGTAAGGACAAATGGCATCAACAACGTTTGAACATGAATAGCAATGGTTTGGCAATCATTAAAAATGAGCAGACAACTTTCCTGGCAGTTGACTACATTGGGTCCATGTGACGTGACTTGCCTGAATCAGTGGATGGAATGTCAAACTTGTGGGAGCCTTCCACAGGGAGGTGGCCGCATACGAATGGGGATTAGGGCAGACAATGCTGTGGAAGGTACCAGTTCGTACTACGAGACTGGGCTAAGATTCGTGGATTCAAAGCGGGTCGCAGTGTGTTGCGATCATCAGGTGAAGCACTGTTTTGCATTTTGCGTGTGCATCAAAGTTGCACTGTAATCGATCGTGTCACGGTGTCCGTTGTGACACTATCGCGTTGATTCTCCGAATGTCAAGGAAGTCTCTTATTTACACAGCAAAAACTGACTTTATTCAAATTTTACGCATAAAAATATCTTCTACGTTTTCACGCGTAAACAGGAGTAGAAAATCGTAAATCCATCAGAAATACAGCCCCGTGTACATAAGGACAGTACATGCGGACTTACGGAGTCCGGGGAGTGGCATCCAGGCGCGCTGGGGCGGCCAGAATCGAATTTTTGTTCGACTTCGTCTTTGCCCTTGCCAAGGGCGAGGTGCCACTATGATGTTCGAGGGGGCGGAGGATTGATCGTTGTAGGCGGCTGCCATTGTGTAGCCTTGATGTTCCAGCGAGTCGAAAAATCGCAAATACAACCGCAAAAATCATCCCTTTGGAGAAAAGGCCCAACCTCTGGCGACGCCGCTGAGAGGGATGTGACGTAACCCCAAGTGACGTCCCCGAAAGGGGTTGGAAGGGCGGCTGGGCATAAACAGTGTCGGCGAGATTTGTCGCAAGGGGTCTCGTCAAGTCTCCGCGTAAAAAGCTTAAACGCAAAAGGTAAACGCAAATTAACTTCCTGTCTCAAGGCATCCCACTGCCGACTCTGGCTAGAGTCTGCAGATCTGCCTCCGATGCGTTCCTCAGCCCTACGAACGGGGCAGCTGCAGATGCGAGGGTCTCAAGCGTTTCGTTGCCATCGCTCCCATCCACCCCAAGTCATGAGGCCATCGCGAAGAGGCGGGATCGCCCAGGGAAAGCGCGCCTCGAGCGGAAGCGCGCACGGCGCACCGCATACGCGACAGCGATATCCGCGCCCCTCCCGTCGGCAGCCCTGACGGGCAGCCACTGGCCACCCCGGGTACGCGTGCTCACAGCACCCGAGTCGACCATCCCGTGCCTTCACGTAATCCCTATGTCACAGGGGGTCGATGCTTACGAGGCAATGCTGAATGAGACTAAAAGAAATCATTCCGGGTCTCTCCAAGTTGGGTTGCGTGAGCATATAGTATACTTAGGATCAGTCCAGATGTCGGGACTTCGACCCGACGTTCTGTACTGCTTTTGCTGCCACTTCACCCATTCAAATTCCGCTCATTAGCTGGCTAGGTTGCATTGTTGGTGCTCGCTCCATCACAATCTGCTCAACCCCTGCTAAGCCTAATATGCTTACCGCTTGTGCCGCCATATCCTCCAAAATTTAGATTCTAGTGTTCATATATCCGTTGCTTGCAGTAAGATACTCATTTCAATCCAGAATGCTGAAATTCCACATATTTAAATTTTCTGATTGAGGTTTGCTTAGCTGCCTGCCAGCTGCCTTGAACTGCTTCAAAGGATATGGCTGGGTGACACATGCGATACAATGGTCATTGGATCATGTATGACGCATAAGGGAGTGCGACCTGGCACGTGCCACCTTTTACCAATGATCGCACCACCTTGGTTTGCGTAGCTCACAAGGCACGACACCGTCGTGCAACTCTCATCATGTCGGGATTCCATTCACAGGCATCTTCATCGAGGGCTGCAGCACTTTCCAAGCCCGCGGCAGTGGCGGTGCTGGTGTTCAGATTGTCGGCGCCCGCGCTGACCAAGCTGCAACCCGTTTTTCAGTGTGACCATGACAGCCGCTCGTTTCTGTTCCCCTCTTTAGCGAAGGTGTGCCGCCGCACCCATCCTGGCAATTGGGTTGATTGAGGCCAAGGGTGGGCCGGCCATTTCTGCAAGGCCCGCAGCCATTTCGACGACTCCACCGAGTTCAACCTCAAAATTTCCCTTGGCCTCACA